TGCCGTCACAACGACACCCTGGAACAGACGCTGCTGACGCCGATCCCGTCAACTACGTGACCGCCCTCCCCAACAAGGCACAGCGCGATGCACCTGTTGATGACGTCTAGCTCCGGAATGCTTTGGCTACGCGTGCCACAGTCAGTGAGTTGTGCCAAATCATTCACATTTTTTATTGCTGGGAGCTAAACTGTAATGCATTCGGTTTGCTCACAAAATACTGAGGAATGTCTGTTTTCTGCTCGTCGCCAGTTTTTTAGCCGGACTTTAGAAATGTCTCACAATGGCAATGTTTCAAGTGAGGCGTTCTCTTAATTTCCTTAACTGATATAAGCTTGATGAAAAGTCACGCAAACCATTCCTGACGCTTGTTCTGTGTGTCAAAAATTAAATTACATTGAAACCAGAAAGATAACAGTGGCACATATGGCGTTGGATATGTCCACCGCGTTCAGTGATGCACGCATTCGCTATTTTCCTCACGCTTAAACTGTTTCTACCCTGCGCGCTTCCTGTGCCACGGAAATGCTTCACCAGTCGCGATATTGTCGACTTGTTTGCCACAGGAGAATCGGGAAACGCATTTCAAAACTCATTCTGGCAAGAGTCAAGTAAGAACGAGGTGCCAGGCGGCGTTCGACAATGAACACTCGTTGCACTTCTGGTGTTCAAAGACTACCGACGGACTGGCGCGAGCGGGTTACAATATGACGCGACCTGCGTGGGCTCTTGTACATTCACAGCGAAATTACGCTTTTATTAAACAAGTCGGACTGCACTGAATTGCAACAATCGGTGAATACTTTTGTGGATCGCGTGATTTTTCTATCACCCTGTAGATATGCCACTTTCATCTTATTTGATGAGGATTCTGATTTCCGGTGTCGAGTGCTGAACTAGACGCCTTTCCCCCATCTCTTTATTTAACTTTGCATTGTAATGCATAATTGTTAATTACGTTCGGAATTGCGTACGATTTTTTCTGTTACAATCCCACGTTAAACGCTGTTTTTGCTACTGCTGTTTCCATCGAAAAGGCCAAGGCTCACAGTTTTTGGCTCAAAATTTCTGTTTTGAGCGATCTTGACGAACGTTGATCAGCCGACTGAAAATCAGTGCGAAATATGAAAGTTGCGTGTACTCCAGCTTGTACGTACTTCTCGCAGGGATTTAAATATAAAGGATTAAAATTCTGTTCTCTCTGTTGTGTCCGAGACGAGGGTCATTGCAGGAGTTTTGACGTTTGTGGACGATGTCTGTCGCCTTCGTTGTCTTCTGCAAAACACGGCGTCTGCGAAGAAGAAAAGTCAGTAGGTTGTAACTTACTTCACTAATCTATATACGCCTAATGGCGGAAACGGGCCGATGTTTTGCAAATATTGTTTGATTCCAAAAGCGAGACGACTGGTAACGACCCCAAAATTAAAATATCTGACACTATTTAACCTCCTTTAGCACCAACACGTCTGTCACAGTTCTTCCTATACCAGTACAGTATTGTGGTTTGGAGATTTGGTAATTTCGGTTCACTGAACGCTGTTCCTGATTGCGGCTATGCGATTGATCATTGTGATGTGAAACCTAAATTTGCCTTCATAATAGGGACGCAGAGGCACCACACGGGTTAACAAGGCACGTGCACCGGCGTCAGGCTAATATTCCAGCATTTTGCACTAGATCCGAGGTTTTCGGCCACTAAGAAACATTTTCACAAAGTTTTGTTTGAAATAAATTTAGCATTTGCATGTTGTCTTTCAGTGTACGGAATAGTTCTGACTTTCGTGTAATTTGTGCAACACAAATTGAGCGCTTACATTTTTTGAGCTCCGACGCCGGAAGTAATGTAACTGTGCCTCGGGCGCCACAATTCGACCATTCGTAAAGAATTCTCCTTTGTCTTCATGTGTATTCTACGCACCTTCCATTAAAGACAGAAATCTGCTTAATTTGAAGAAACTTTCCCGAGACGTGTTAGTAGGTCCTGCGGCGAAACGAAGGTGATGACTACTTCGAATGTATAGAAGTGGTTAGCGTCGGAGGCAAGTGTTGATGCGAAGGTCAGGTGTGCAATTTCAAGTCGTGATGTCGGCCACCGATGTGAATGGTGCAGTTGTATGGTATTAAACTTGATGTTTCAAAATTTCCCCTGTCGAACTCTTGCCAAGAGTAACTGAAAATGTATTATGATATTCGAAAGAGCATGTTCGTCACTTCCGGTTTCGGACTTTATTTTCGTTTCACATAATGTACCCTCCTCTGGCATGTAGCTACAGGTCGTGAACTGCCGTGAAGAAGAATTGTTTTGCGAGCCTGCCGTAGAAACTGCTAAGTGGCGTGAGCTTTGGGACCGAAGCCGCCCTTAATGGCCTTACTTCGTTGTTCCGCAAGATGGTGGGTACTCGTGTAATGCGCCCCCTTTGCTGCCGCGGTGAGCGTATTTCCGGCCATTGCTTTGAGGGGGGGGCCCCCCTCGTGTCCTCTCTCACGCAGTGTAAAGCATCTCCTTCATCATTGAACGTTTTCGACTCGACTCGACTCGATTGGATGTTTGATATAGGGCGTTGATGTACGTTCATCGAAGATGTATAAACGGTCGATTGCAAATTGCAAGGCGCTTATCCCGCGTTCATATATTGTGTCTGAGCGTATTCACGTTCCGCCCCTGCCAATTTAATCCTCAGTTCTTTGATCGCCCCGACGACATTTGGACACCTGAAGAAAAGAGTTACTGGGGAGACCTAGATGTAGATGACAGGAAAGCATTAAAAATAATAGGACAATTTCTTGGCCATTACGACTACCAGCTTCTCCAGGAGCACTTCAGTAGTAGATGTAGGGTCTGTGTGTGTAATAATTGAACTTTAAGACTGATTAAGTATGAACAAGTTAGGAAATGTACGCGTAGCATAACAATTGTGGCACCTTCGCTGTTTTTTTTCCCATATAGATATGTAGTTTGTGAATGCAAAATTTTGCGGCTGTCTTATTAATTGTGTGAAAGACGGAGGGTGGACGTGCGAGGTACTCCAACGTAATCGATTTTCGATTTTCGAGGTGACACAGCATGAATATCTCTTTTGTTTAATTACATCTGAAAGCGTAATGCAACACGGGATATGTGTATAGGACGCGCAGGGCACAACGCGTGTTTAATTTTCCTCTGTAGCCCGTTCAAAACATTTTTCGCTCCGATAAATATTTAGCTGGTCGTGTGCGCAAAAGGCATGTCGGTCATTATTATTTAAAGAGAGTGTTATTTCTGTTCGGTTTTCAATTAAATTGTTGTGTGTCCACTAATTGCTGGAAAATTCTATGAAAATCCTTTCAGCGATTCTCGGACTTCACGTCGACAGACAGACAGACAGACAGGGACACACATCCGTGGCGCAGCTAATAGAGGCGATTTTAAATGTCGCCAGGGACATTCCTAGAAGCGGAATCAATCGGCCACTCTTCGTGCGTACTGATATGAACGGAACGAGATATCGATAATGTCCTACTGTCGATCGAACAGTTGAAACGCACAAAAGTAGGTTTTTATTTTTTAAAGCGAGGACGGACACAGACGGCTTTCCGAATTATAACACAAGCCCCTGATTGTTCTTTGTCTAGACCAAAGGCTCCCAACCTTCTGGCCACGGAGGACCCTTTGTATTTACTATCTCCCCCCCCCCCGCTACTCCATACCCCGTGGTTTTTAAAGTTTCCGTCTGCCTTCGAAACTGAATTATTAATTAAAAATGACTCGTTATTCTACTTTCATTGTCGAATTGAAGTACGCACATAACTGGGTATGTGTAAAATAGTATTACGTGTTATGAGCTTATTTAATGATATGGTTGATGTTGCTCTGTTGACTCTGAGGTCCGATTTTCCCGTTCATTGGTAGATAGTTTTAAACACATATCGGGTTTCACTTTTTTTTTCGATTCCTGTATTTTGATTTGATATAGAACGGGTGAAGGGTGAAGCCTACTCGCACGAATGTGTTGTGTGGTCTAATACTTCATTGTAGGATTTGGGGCTTACACGGCGGTGAAACTTCTGTGTTGTTGCGCCGTGTAGACTGGTTTACCGACGTTTCAGAGGTCCTTCCTGCCTCCATCATCAGGGCGATCCTATCAGACTACACTGCGCAACAACCCAGAAGACAGCCATCTTCAAATACTTCATAGCTTTGGCTGCGACTTCGCAGGCTGATGAAACATGATCTCAGCGAAACGTCAGGCCCTTATTCGAGACTCGTTTCATCTGTCATCGGGGGAAAGGGGTGGACTCGGGAGATAATTTACAGTAAGCAGCGTCGATGCGAAATTTGCCCCATTTCCAGCGGTTTTGGATGTGTCGGCTTCCGGGCTGAGCGCAGAGAAAGATAAAAGAGAATTTCCACGTTTTAAATTACAAATTTCCCGCCACGAGGTTTTCAGTGCACGGCCTCGCTTGTTCCAAAGACGGCACAGTTCCATTGGAATTGTAATTTTTTGCCGAAATTACAGCAGAAGCTTCTTGCCTTGAATTTAGTTGGTAGAAAAAGTAGCGCGCACGGATCGCGTGATTCCCATTTACTACGTATTTTATTTTCGTGACGAAATTGCACGCTTCAAGGTCGCAGACAAATCGTACTTAGTTGCAACTTGGACGCCAGATCCCAGGCGAGTGAAGACGCCTCAGAACTTGCAGCGTAGCATAGCAGCACTGCACTGGCTGCTCAGAGCTGCGCGGAAGGGGTGGGGGCCCAAATCCTTCCGTGGCCCTGGACCATGGGAGAAACAGGAAGCCTTTAAGGATATCAGGTACACAGACCAAGATTCAAAGCCGCTGTCCTCCGAATGCTAGCCAGAGGCTTTGTCATTTTACCGTACCTACCATTTTAGCTAAGATGAAAGACCTAGGCGCAGGTATGAGGATAATATTAAAAGGTATCTTAAATAAGTTTCAGTTGGCTGAAGGTAGTGATCGGTCACGGGCTTTTGTGAAAACGGTATTGAACCGTATGATTACGTGAAAATCTGAAAATTTGTTGTTACTGCTGTGTTGCTTGGAGTTCATGAGTTAGGTACACGGTGGCTTTGAAGGCTACGGCGAGTTTTATGGCAGATGTCAGACGTTCTGGAACCAAATATATGCAGCGTCAGACACCCCCC